TTATTTGTTTTTGTGGTGCTGGGAATCAAACCCAGGACTTCATACTTACTAAACACATACTCTACCCCTGAGCTATAGTCCCGGACCCAAATGTCATTCTTACATCCCATAAAAAAATGAGTACCCAGAGAACTTAATAAATGGTGCCTGTTTATGACAGAAAGAGAGTATACAGGGAGTGTACAGGATATTTCACAGTGATGTGACCCAACTATCTGCTTCATTAATGTCTTCTTAAAGGTGTCTGGCCCATGGGCTGGGGTTGTAGCTCAGTGGTAGAGTGCTTGCCTCACATGCGTGAGGCCCTGGGTTTAAACCTCAGCACCACATATAAATAAATAAATAAATAAAAATAAAGGTGTTGTGTCCACTTACAACTAAAAAAAAAAAAAAAAAAGATTTCTGGCCCAATTTTCCCACTAACTTTTCTTTTTCTTTTCTTTTTTTCTTTTGGCTGCAGGGTGGAGGAGAGGAACAAATAATTGAACTGGGGATATTCTACCACTGAACTACATCTTCAGCCCTTTCTTTTTTTAAATTTTTTTATTTTGAGACAGGGTCTCACTAAGTAGCCCAGACAGTCCTTGAACTTAGGATCCTCCTGCGTTAGCCTTCCCAGTAGCTAGGATTACAGGTATGTACCACCACAGGTAGCTAACAAAATTTTCCTTAAATTGTTATTGTGAATTCATTGGGAATGTTCTTTTATAATATTGACATGGAAACTAGTTTTACTGTCTGATGTTATATTTTTGCTGATTGTTTTCCAAAATGTATAAGTGGTGTTTTTTTTAATTGATAGATTTGTTTTTATTTATATTCAGCTTGCTTTCTTCCTTTGTTCCTTTTCATTCAGTCCTAGATAAAATGCAGTTAATCATGTACAAAGGTATGTACAAAGTCTCATCTGAATAGCTCCATCATGTGTCTAGAATAAGTTTTACAATTATGAAAGTTGCTTCCTGTTCATAGCTACTATGGCCTTGAATAAGAATAAATATCTAGAGCTAGGGGTGTAACTCAGTGGTAGATAATGTGCTTAGCATGTGCAAGAACCTGGGTTTGATCCCAAATACCAAAAAAGGAAAAAAAAAAAGTCCATACTATATTACTGAGTCCTCTGAAAATTAGATGCAAAAATCAGGAGATTTTTTAAAATACTCATTTTAAAAGATGAGTATTTTAAAAAACAGATTTTGGGCACAAAGTCTAGAGTGATCATATAATTTATTATTAAAATTTTGTCTTTTGGACAAGGAATGCAAGGTGAATTAGTAAGTTCACTGAAAGCCTAGCATGTGCCTCTAGTCCCAGCACTTGGGAGGCTGAGGCAAGTGGATCACTTAAGCCCAGGACTTTGAGCTCTACCTGGGCTATATAGTGAGATATCATCTGAGGGGTCAGGGATGGTCATTGAGAAAAAGACATAAGCCAGGACTCTTCCAGGTATACCAAGATTTATGGTCACCTTAGCCAAAATTGATAATGTACCTCTCTAAGCTGGGGAGGGCTTGAAAATTATAGGCTATATCACATTCTATACTCAAACTGTGAATTAGTGGGTTCTGTTTTGAGAATCTAAGCTGAAACTCTGCTTTTAAAGTATTAGGCTCAGTTCTAATTTATATTCCTCAAGATAAACATAATGTTAGAGACAAAGACCCAGAGAAACATAATGAATATGAGAAAGAGCTACAGCTCTTAACATTTGGGCAGTTATGGCATCTTGGAGAATTTCATGAGCACTTTTAACTCTCCCTGGAGGAAAGATACACACAGCTCCCACCCCTCAGCATGCAGTTCAGAGGAGTGCAGTCCATCTGATCTAACCCAGGACCCCAGGTTGGAATTCCTGACCTACAACATGTGGTTTGCATGAAGGAACTAGGGAATTATATTAGCTGACCATCTTTATACTAATTTCACTTTACACTCACATAAATCTATTTCAGAGTAAGGGAACTAAGGCTCAGAGAAATTAAGATCTCACAGCTTACCATAAAATGGAAAAGCCAGACTTCAAATTCAGGTTTATGTGTCACTAATCTCATAATCTAACCACTGCTTAGATATACTTTATATAAACACACATATACAGATATTTCAACCTAGAAAGGGATTATATTATAAAATCATATGAAAAGTGAACATAAACTTTCATCCTTCTTAAAGTCCTGCTTACCAAATTGGTATGTAGCTTTTGAAACTAAAAAGAGATTATTAGACATCTGGGGCTATAGCTCAATTGGTAGAGTACTTTCCCTGCATGCATAAGGTCCTGGGTTAAATCCCCCTAAATATATAAATAAATAAATATAAATAAATAAATTAGAACAATTAAAAGTAAACCTTTTTTTTTTTTAATGATACTGAAGATTGAACCCAGGGCTTTACACATGCTAGGCAAGTATTCTACCACTGAGCAGCGTCCCCAGCCCTTTTGAGACTGGGTCTCACTAGATTTTCCAGGATGACTTTGAATTTGTAAGCCTTTTGTCTCAGCCTTCTGAGTAGCTGGGATTATAATTGTGCACCACCATGCATGACATGACAAAGCTCTTTCTTTTTTTTAATACCTCAAATGATAATGCAACATATAAATAATCCCAAGGTAGTTTTTGTTGTTGTTATTTGTTTTTTGTGGTGCTGGGGATTGAATCCAGGGATCCTGTAGTCCTTCTTTAGACATCCTTGGAGTACTGCATGTGAGGCAAGCACTCTACCAACTGAGCTGTATCCCCAGTCCATCAAGGTAGTTTTTAATAAATCCAAGATTGATATACTATCAATGAAATTTTAAGTGTTTCATTCGATTCCAGGATTAAACTTGAACAGAATGATTATGCCTTTGCCTGTATATCTTGAAGCCCATGTCAATCCAACTTGACCATGGATAGGATGGTGGCTTAGGTAATATCCCATTTCCAATCTAAGTTGTGTTTTAGTCAACTCAAATTCCCCTTTTGATAAACTATGTTCATGAGTTCCTAAAAGACCTGATAGGATTTTGAAGCTGACATGCCCTTAGTGAGATATGGATTTATATTTACCTGATAATATAAGAAATCACATATGTAGTACCTGGGCAACCTGGTATATAGCAAAACTCAAGGGATATCACATCCTCCTCTTTATTTTTTTAAGAATTTAGTTTTAGGTGGACAGAATATCTTTATTTTATTTCTTTGTGGTGCTGAGAATCGAACCCAGTGCCTCATACATGCTAGATGAGCGCACTACCACTTGAGCTACATCCCCACATCCTCTTCTTTCCACTTCATCTTAGGCACTGTTGTCAAATAAATTTTCTCTTTCTTTTTTGAGCCAGGTTTCTCCATGTTGCCCAGGCTGACCTTGATCTCCTGGACTTGACATCCTCCCAGTTCCGTCTCCCACATTGCTGGAACTACAAGCATATTGCCATCACACTCAGCTATTGTTTTTAACTTATCCCATCTCTCCACCTCTAAAACTGTGAGCTCGGCAAGGGTAGGGGCCAGATGCATCTCTGGTGACTAGCCTACATCCTGGGGTAGACATTCAATTATATTTGTTGTCCTAACTGCATAAATGATATCTACAAGAATTCAGACAATGATATTCTTTCATTAAAAATACTGAGATACAATTCACATACCATAAGATTCACCCTTTTAAAATGGACAATTCAGTGATTTTTAGTATAGTCACAAAGTTTTATAATCATGACAAGCTGTCTAATTCCTGAATATTTTTGTCACCTCAATCAGAAAACAGATACTCCTTCACAATTACTCCCATCATCCCTCCCCAAGGCTAGAGCAAACTACTTATCCACTCTCTGTCTCTACAGATTTCCCTACTCTCCACTTTCATATAAATGGGATTATACAATATGTGAACTATTGTGCCTTGACCTTTTTCAATTATGATTACCTTTCAAGGTTCATCCTTGGAGTAGCATGGATCAGCACCTCATTCCTTTTTATGACTGAATGCTGTAGTCCATTTTATGGATGCACCATGGTTTTTTTTTAACCCTTTCTAGGAAAGATGATTTTTAACACCCTTCACTACTCTATGATCCTATGTTCAAATGAAGGTCTACCATTGAATTTTATAAAGTAAATCATAGTATAAGTCACTATGCTTCTTGTTTCTATATAAGTATAATGATTTTCTGTGTCCTGGCCTTTCTGAATCGTATCTCCCACAGATTCCAGGAGGACAGCCCTGTTGTGATCCACCAAGCTTATTTTCTCAGCCCCTTAGACAATAACATTAGACTCCCTGCCTTTATTTTTGGGATTCTGCTTTCCCCACCTCACTTTCTCTTAATTGTCCTCCTGAATACCTGAAACTGGACACTCTGGAATAATGAACGTCCACAGCGCTGATTGCCCTTGCGTTTCCATCAGATCTGTGTCAACTAAGGACGGATGCGACCCTTCCCGCCTATCTTTGCCCGGTTCCCGTCTCAATGCAAGTGTACCTTCACCATCAAAACTTTCGGGGATGGTGGGGTGGGGACTTCCTTGGTTTTCCAAGGAAACTTAGGTAAAAGGAGGGCCAGGGGGATGGTATTTTTTTACTTTCCTCACAATCCAGAAAAGAAAAAGGATTTCCTTTGGGCTGCCACAACTCTGATCTTTAATGCTGATAAAATATTTCCTTTAAAAAACAAAAAAACAAACTTCTAGGAAAATCATGCAACTTTAGCTTGGAAGTCAAATCTATTCTAACCTTCACATTAAAAAAAAAAGTGAGAGTTTTATTTCTCTTTCACTGGGAATTTTCTTCCTAACAATTCTAACAATTCAGGTCTTGCTACCAGAGGCGAGCTGGTCCGCAGGTTTCTTTGCAGGCTGGCGAGGAAGAAGGACTACAGGATCCAGAGGTCTTTGGAAACTCCAGCAGCTCCAAGCTTGTTGGCTACTAGGGTTTCCCTGAGGAGTGACGCTTCGAAAACAAATTCTGATTGGTCGGGCCTGAGCTGAATTCTCCATTTATGGACAGATTGCCCGGCCCGAGCCGAGGCTGAGCCAGAGGAATACGGATTAAGTGGTTGAAGAAAGAGAAGAGAACCAGGGGAACTAGGCAGGCACACAAGCTGAGCTCATCGGACTCATCTAGGCGGTCGGCGATCACCAGATCCAAGTGGACCCCAGCCCTTTGCAGCATGCACTCCAACTGCTGAATCGTCCCGGTCTCGCCCTCACCTAGACCCGCGAATCCCGCCTGGATGGAGTCCCCCCTGGGTTCCCATTGGCTCCTGTGAGTGCTTGGGTGTCGGGAGCCTGTTTTTGGCGAGGGGAAACAACTTTTGAAGTTCGCCCAGGAGATTGCGTTCCAGTCCCAGCTCCCAGGCAGCCGGACCGGCAGAGGAGAGACCGCGGCGCGAGTCACCATGGTGAGTTGACTGAGCTGCGTCTCAGGACGCCGATCTTGAAAAGGGGCTAGAAGTCCAAACCGGGGCACCCACCTTGGGCGCGCTGCCCAGGCCAGGGGTGGAGAAGGTGGACGCAGGAGTCGGCACGTTGCGAGCTCTGATTTCCTGCTACTTTCGGTAAACCCGGGCTCGGGGAGAAGGCTCGAGGGGCCAAAGAAAACTTTCTTTCAAGTCGTTTTCTGCGTCGCGAAACTTTTGTGGCCGGGTTGCTGTGGCTGGCAGCTGTCGGAAGCCAGAGTGCGGGCACATCTGGTTTCAGGGGCACGGCAACGGGAGGGTTCCCTTTCTCCCTGCTGGAAAGATTGGGGGGGCTGCCTGTGCCCCTCGGGTCCTAACCATCCCGGGCGAGGTTCGCTGGGACTTTTGCGCCGCAGTCGGCCCGCTGCGCCCCCTCCCACCCCCATCGTCCCCCTCCCGCCCGCTGGCACCAGCGCTGGCGGCTCGCTGTCCTCCCCTGCGCTGGTCGGTGGCGGGCAGTGCCCGCAGCTGTCCCTCCTGGCATCGCGCGCCGGTGGAGGCGGCCTGGCCTGCCCTGGCTAGGGACCGCGCGCCGCACAAAGGCAGCCGGGGGCGCCAGGTAGAGCGAGCACCTGGCTGCGGGCGCAGAGCGAAAGTGATCCGGGCGCAGGCTGGAGCCACGTTGGCTGGACCCGCGAGACGCGCTGGCCGCTGGGGTCTTTGCGCCCAAGAGGCCGAGTAAACACCGCCCGTGGAGGGCCCCACCCCTTCCCAAGTGCGAGGTGACAGAAACTCTTTGAGTTTGCACTCCAAAAGTCCTCAGTTTTTTTTTTTTTTTCCTTTTTCCTTTGGCACTTTGGAAACACACGGATTTGGCTGCCTCTTTCTCTTATGCGCTTGTAACTTTTTCGCTGCCCCAAGTCCCCAGCCTGGCCACACTCCTCCTCCCTCCCAATAACCTTAGCCACATCCCTTGAGCTTTGGTGTGGTGTAGTTTTCCTTCCGAGGCACAAAAGCAAGGACTCTATTTTCAAGAGATTGGCAGTCCTTCAGAAAAAGAAAAAAGAGTTCTACAAGGCTTCATAGTTTCCACACTTGCCTCTTTTCAAAGAACCCTGCTTAGGTGGATGAACCGTCTTCGGATTCGTGATTGTTTAATGACTGTGAAAGTGAAGCTAAGTCAAAATGACACTCAGCACAGCTCTCATTTAAAAATCTATATCCCACATGACCGGTCTGAAGGACTCTAGCTAAGGCCCATCAGAGCCTCTATACCAGCCCAACAAAAACAAACAAAACCTTTAAAAGGTGCCCTGGACCGAAGCTTTACTTTTTACATAGTTCAAATCCATGTCACCTTTGCTCCTAAGAGAATACTTTATCTATAAATAAACTCTCCCCTCCGGTTTAAAGATTTAAGCAGTCAGCCTACCCCAAATTATTTTTGGAACCCCCACAGAAAATCATTTACGTTGAATGTGTATTTGGGTGGAACTACTTAATTGAGCATCAGGCCATGTGAATTTAGGCAACGTGATAGTGCGAGTACTTTAGAATTGCTGTAATTATTTTCCATGGTTCAATATTTCTAAAAAAAAAAAAAAATCAATGTGTTTATGTCAAAAGCTTCAACAATCTTGCTGAATTTAACTACTTGGTACCTTGACAAATTAACTTTTTCTCATTTAACTCATTTTTCTTGTTGGGCAGACCAAAACATAGTTGGGGGTGCATTTTTGGAGACCTCAAAAATGTCATGGTCAATTTGGTCAGTTTGCTGTTGAAGTAGATGGTTGGTCTGTGGATGTATGGAGGCATGTCTTAAAGTAGAGTCCTCTCCAGAGTTGACTTATCAGAGGACAGAGTGTGGCTTACCTATTGATGGCTCCCTGCCATCAGCACAGATGGGCATGTCATGGGCCTCCGGGCGACTATCTGGGCATCAGATAAGGTTGCTGAGGACACAGCTCACTGAAGAAAAGTTGAAACTGCTGGCTGTTCTGAAATGGGAGATGTGCCATTGATAGATCTCCCCAATCCAGAGTCATGTGGCCAAAATTTAAATGATCTTTCTTCCCTGACTTGAAAAATTGTTCGTTACATATGTGACATCTCCTTAGAACAAAGCATCAACATCTTAAAAAACGAGAAACTCCAGTTATAATAGGTCTAATATTTAAAGTTTACGTAAGAGTCCATCAAGCCAAAAGAAGCTTCATTTTTGTGTTCCACATCGCCTGGGCCTGCCCTGTGTGTCTCTCAGCTGCTTAGAACAGGGAAGGAAGGGACATCACCATCAGTGGGTGTGGCTGTAAATGAGCCTGGAGCAGAGGTCCTTGGCCAGGCATGGGAAGGGCACCTGTACTGGGGTGTGTATGTGTGTGTGTGTGTGTGTGTGTGCGCGCGCGCGCGCGCGCGTGCATAGTTTTTTTGGAAGACTGCTAGTGCATTAGAAAAGTTCTCCACCTGTATCCAAGGCCCTACCAAGAAGTATTCACTTGTGACTCATAAGGAAGACTGTCATTTCTGAATCATGAACACAATGTACAATTTGTAATTCACTTCATATCTTCCTCCTGAACACTCACTTTGGGACACTTGTTCATCTTGGAAAAACCAAGAACACTACCAGCAATAGTTCTTCGTATCTTCTTCTTCAGGAGGCTTGAAGAAATTAAAAACAAACAAAACAAAGAAAAACCCTCTGTATATCTTCATAATTTAGTTAAATGTCATTTAGGAGAGTTTAAAAATCTTCTTTGGGGGCTGGGATTGTAGCTCAGTGATGGAGCACTTGGCTACCCCACGTGGGGCACTGGGTTCAATCCTCAGCACCACATTAAAAAATAAGTAAATAAAATAAAGGTATTATGTCCATCTACAACTTAAAAGGAAAAAAAAAAGTCTGCTTTGGCTTTAATTACCAGTAGCATACATCTAAGTTTTTCTTCATAGAGTATGCCTTTCTCGTAATCTGCTAAGAAAGTTAACTTTTGTGGCCGTGAACAGAATGAATTGTCTGATGGACCCATGATGAATTGTCTGATGTACCCACATAGCCCTGCTATATGTTTTGGCCCCAGAATCTGGGATTGATGGGATTTCTGTGAATTAAGTATGCAGAAATATTTGCATAAATCTGAATTGACTGTTATCTGAAAAAAAGGTCTAAGATATTTTCTCTTTTCCTTACTTGTTACTTTTGAATAAATTGTAGATATTATGCATACAAATACATAAAAACAGAAACATGATAGATAGCTGACCACAGGTATGTTTCTTTGGGTGAGGCCTGATATGTGTTTATAAAGTCTGGAAACCATTTTGAATATGTTTTCTGGGAAGGTAACCTAGTTCATTTCCACTGATTGGTTTATCAGATTGCTTGAAGTCTCCTAGCCAAAATAACTCAATCCAACAAAACAAAAAGGAATGCGATAAAGCACGGAAGTTTTGATGGAGTCAGGGGGTTAGGGAAATAACTGAAGCCCAGGATATTACCCTGGGGCAAGTGTGTATGGGCCATCTTAGTAGAAAAATCTATGGCCAGCTCAGAGCCTCCTCTCTTTGGAGAAGCCCCATGGGGCAGCAGATGGAGAGAGATGGAGAAGTGTGGGAAGCAGATATTTGCAGAAGGTAAAGGCCATCTCTTCCACTGTTTTGCTGGGCTCTATAGCTTTCTCAGTGGTTGCAAACTTCAATGTCAGGATATAGTCTGGTGGGGGGCAGGGGAGGCCGATCTCTAGAAAGTCAATATGGAATGCCCCCTCCCAAGAACCACCACTACTTGACCCTGGGCCATATAGTTCAATTGACCATATTACCAAGTTATCTTGCTTTTCAAGAGAAACTGGAAATCCAGGTTTTTATGCTAGATCTGTCAATTTTTAAAAGTGTTACTGCTATCACTGAAGGACCAAACAAACTCACCTGTAGGTCAGCTTTTTGCAGCCACTATTGTAAATCTCAGTGTGGTATCTGGGAACCACGGCATTTCCTCCCATTCACTCACTAGCAGGAATATCTAAATTTTAGCCATATATGCAGCAAATGACTTTAATATTTCCTGATAAGTCCACAGCCTCTCACAGTCTCCCCAAAGAACTGGACTTGCCTGGTATTTTCTACCCATGGAATTTCTAAGCTACTAAAATGGAAAATCTGCATGCAGCTGCTACTATTCGTAGCTATCCAAACACCAGTTAAGATGGTTTTGTGAGTGGTGAGGCTGCAAATTGAACTTTTCTTTCTTATCCTTCAACTCCTTCCTGCAGTGAAAATGTCATAGCCCTCTATGTTGCATGATGGCTCTTTTTATCACTCCTTTCACAGCTGAATCTCTGAGTTTGAGATCTGTTTCAGGTCCTTAAGATTAGTGAGTGAGCAGCAGGGAGCATTTTTATGACTTGGAATATGTACCTAGTTAGCATGTGCTCATGTGAGACTAAATGAAAGAAAGAACATGTAGTACTTTGCATTTCCTGATGAGATGAGGACTGGGTCTCATTACTTAGTAAGAACATGTGAGAGTTCCTTTCATCAGCTTCAACATGCAGAAATATTTTGAAACCTCTATACAAGTGCATGGTATTACGAGCTTCACAGTGGGTACTGGGAATTGGACCCAGGACCTTGTGCATGCCAGGCAAATGCTTTACCTCTGAGCTGTGTCCCCAGCCCCTAATATAGGTTTTTATTATTTACCTTGCTTGAACTTGATGTTTACAAAATAGATGAGGGGTTAAAGATTAAATGCCCAAGGTATTAAAAATAAACATCTCAGCGTGGTAAGCACATTCTATAATAATGGTAAACAAATTGTGTTTTGAATTTCAACTTCAGAATTTATTTTGGCAGGGGCAAAGGTTTTTGGGTATTCTAGTAGAGCTTTTTATTTTTTTAAAACATATTTTTATGACAGTCACACTTGAGAGAAGAACTAGAAGAGCTTTTCCTAAAACAATGGCAAGCCTTAGAACTTACACTGTATATGCAAGTGAACTTGGCCCTCCCTTCTGAGTTGCTATCATGGGAACAACGTCATTGCCATTGTTCAAAGCACTTTTGAATGGTCATTTATGAGCTACATAAGAAAATCTATTTTTTTACTTCCTTTCTAATCTAAAATGTTAGTGCCTCTCCTGATTCTCCATCTTACTCACCAGATTTTGTACCAAGTCCCTTTCAACTGTTTCCAGAAGTTACATTCTGCCTCAGAGTGGGGAAAACTAGCCCTACTGAAGATGTGCATTATCATGTAGAGGACAAACAGGAGGTCCTTTTTTCAGGGAACTAAGTATAAAAACTAACCTGAAGGAGTTCACACTCTCTAGTGTCTAGAGTTCTCATGTGTGATACAAAGTCATAGTACTTTATAATCATTATCTACATTGTAGAAAGTAAAACATATGTTGCATTATACAAAAAGCCCAAAGAGAGCTTAGGAATTCTGTCCTAAACCCTTTTGTCTGATTTCATAAAGAGGCCTAGAGCTGGGTTAATGACTTCTGAAGTCTCATAGCTGGTTTTTGATGAACAGATGACAGAGTACAAGTTTTCTAATCTCAGCCTAAAAAAGACTTTTCTCACCAAATGGGGTGGGATTAGAGTCTATTTCCTTAAGAGTCTAGATATGACCAGGGAATTTTCTTTCTGGAACTCTTCAAGAAGGCCTGCTCCAAGATGGAAGGTTGTTACTTATTTTCTGATTCATCACTGTATCAGCTTTAAAAGATGATAAGAAATAAATTTAGAAGAATCCACTCATCATTATGCTCCACACAATAATTATTTTTATATCTTTGGATTTCCTTCCAACCTATCCAAACACACTGTTTTTACATAGTTATAATTATGGGGCAACTATATTATCTGTGCTCAGTGTTTTTCCACTCGTTTTATAAATCCTTTTCTATAGTAACCATATTTATCATATTTTGGTGGCAGGATTGTAATCCCATGTAGCCTGATTGCTTGAACTGACGATGTCCTCTAGAAGTATGCACAGGTGAAAGTTCCCCCTTGCTCATACTAGAATTGCTGTGGTCAGTAGTGAACTGCTCAGCTTTTTGGTGTGAAGTTGGAGCAGGATGGGTATATGCTCCACATTCCTAGGTCCCTGCCCTAAGGTGTGTAATGAGGGTGGGCAGGCTTACCCACATGCCAGAAATACTAAAGGATGGCCCAAGAGATGCTCTTTTGTTTTCTTTGCATGTCACTGCTGAGAGATGCTCCAGGGATGTCACAGTTTTCAACCCAGTGTAAAGTGGGGGCAGGAAGAGTTGGTGTCCCTGAGGTGCTCTAGAGATGGTGGAAGAAGCCATGTACCTGAGTTGAAACTCTCACTGGCCCTGTAAGCCTTTCTTGGAGGATGCTGGTGCTTGTCCATATCTCTGGTGCTGAGGCTTCCTGCCCTGAGCACCAGATCCTAGGGCCTTAGATGTGACTGATGCTAGACTTGTGACTTTTGACCTGGGGAAGGTCCTAGGCAGGGCCCTATTTGGGGCCTGAGTTGCTGCCACTATCCTCACTATCTGAATACACACCTACATGACTCAGGCATCTGGAGTGCAGGGTCAGCCATCTTCCTTTTCTTTGGATCATCTGATGTGGGTACCACCTCACCCTGCTTGCTGCTGCAACCCAAGTCTATCTTCTTTACCAGGACCAGGCCTGACACGCCTTACCCAGCTTTTTGCCTTCCTCTTGGTCTTTGGGGCCTCATCTAAGATGGCGGCAGGGTTTTGCAGGAGGACCAGCCAGGGTGGGTGGGAGCAGCCTTGTCCTCTGAGTCAGAGTCCTCAGCAGTCTTCTTTTCCTGGCTTCTTCCACCAAGGCTGCCCACTCTTCCCTCCTTTTGCTTTGCGATGTGCAGGCGGTGCCGCCACAGCATGGCCTTGGAAATCCAGGTCAGCCTGCTTCTGGTTTAGGTTCTTAAGCTCCTGCAGGTTCTTCAGGACCTCTGTCTCCAGCTTGGAGTCCTTGGTCTGGTCCTTTTGTACCCTCTTCTTCCCCAGAAGCTTCTCACCTTGGAAGTTTAGCGTGGTTCATTGCTCCATGGTATATTATTGAAAGTGATCTCTGCCAGGCAGCAGGTGCATTAGATGTAGAAGCAGAAGATGGGCAGGTATAGGCAGACCTGTTTGTACAATGCCTTTTTGTGAATGTAGCATGTCTTCCCTTTGTAGATGTACTACTCTGTGTCTTACACCTTGTATTGAAGAGGGCCACCAACTGGTCCAGGTCTTGCTGGTTTCTGCATAGCTTGAGTCTGGGAACCTTGAAGGGTCTCCTCAGACAAATAGCATCTGTATAAAATCTTTCACTCCAACATCTTTGCTGCCAATTCACCTCACAAGCACCAGAGAACTGGGGAGGCTCCGTGTATATCCAGCTTCTCCAACAGTACCAGCACTTCTGTAATGTCATTTCCTTCTGCTTTTGTTATTGGCTATGGCATACAGAACTTGCCTTTTTCATTGATTGTGATTCTATCCCATCCATCAAGCTCCAAGGCCTTTTGTCTTCCCTCCTGTGTTGCAACCTTTGTAGTGTGTAATAAAAAATTCTAGGTGCCGTCTCAATTTGGAGAAGTTCCATGCAGATGCTTCTTCCCCAAATAGTCAGTTGCTGCTGGTTAATCATTGTGACTTGCCATGGCTACATGGCTGCTAGTTGCTATGTTCCTTGTCATTCATTCTATTCATTCTTTTCTTTCCTTCCTTTCCTCCTTCCCTTCCTTCCTTCCTTCTTTCTTTACTGGGAATTGAATTCAGGGATGTTCTACCACTGAGCTACATCTCAGCTCTTATTTTGAGACAAGAGCTTGCTAAATTACTGAGGCTGGCCCTGAACTTGTGATCCTCTTGCTTTAGTCTCCCAAATTTGTGGGATTACAGGTGTGGCCACCAGCTGAGCTCATTCATTTTTTTTACTCACCAAATATGCATTAAGCTTCATATATATATATATATATATATATATATATATATATATATATATATATACTGGACTCTGGGAAACCATACATTTTTCCCATGCCTTCAAGGCTCACATGGGGGTCGCTGATGTTTTATTTGTTTTATATATAAAAAATAAATCCAAAGTAAATATGATAAAATAGTATCATAAATTCTAAGCAGTGTTTACATAGAAATTTTTTTATTATTCTTTATAATTTTAACATTTTTCCAATTTATAAGAATGCATATAATTATATGCAATTCTTTATATAATTTCAGAGGTTCATAAACCCCTGAAGCCCATACAATATCATTCTGTAAGTTGTACCAAATATTATTTTTTTAAGATGAATATTAGGGTGAATGTTCAATTTTGGATCTATGTCAACTTATTTTAACGATAGTTGACATGAGATTGAATCCATAGTAAGTTCCATTAAGTGTTGTATAAAAGTTCATTAGGGGATGTATCCTGGGATTTTTAATATATCTTAGCATCTCTTAGTCGCCCTTTCTTAATCTGTTATATGTGTTAGCTTTTTGTATAACAGAACATCCTGAACCTAGGGGCTTAAATAAATCATAAAGATTTATCATTTCTCATGATTTTGTGTATTGGCTGGCCAGTTCTCATCCAGGCTGGCTCATCTGAGCTCTGTGGTCAGCCAGTGGCTTGGCTGGAAATGCCTGATCCAGGATGGCTTCACTCACATGTTTGGTAGTTGGCCCACTTCCAGCTGGAGCAATGGAGATGACTTGGCCATGTCTCTCTTGTCACAACAGGCTGGTCTTGGCTTGTTTACATAGTAGTGGTCACACCACAGGATCACCAAGAACGACAAGAGTGCAAACTCCAATACAAAAGCATTTTTTTTAAGACTTTGTTTGCATCATGCTTGTAGTTGCCCCCATTGGCCAAAGCAAGTCACATGGCTAAGTCCAGAGTCAGTGTGGGAAGGGACTACATAGTTCCCCCATTTCAGCCTTTTCTCTTTTCATCTTTCCTTAATTGAATGAATACATTGAGGCAGGAATAAATTCAGTGGTAGCTCCTGTTACCCCGGCTGATCTTTGGAACTCCTGTACATGGCAGAGAAGGCACTCTGGCTCTTGATACGTCCACTGCTGTCTTACCAAGACATGAGGAATTTGAGCTCCAGTCTAATTCTACTCAGTCTGATTCTAAAGTTGCTATGTTTTGTTGAAGAAAAGGTAAAAGCAGAAGCTATAACAACAAAAAGAAAAATAATTTTCTATTAAAGGGAATTTTGTGAAAATAACATTTAACTAAGCCACTGAGAGAACAATGAGTCATGCCAAACCAGACTGGGTTAGATGTCCTTTTGGACCAAAGGGTGGAAGTCATGCCTTCCAAGGTGGGGGCAAGACTTCTTCCTTCCCAATTTGGCCTGTTTAGCAAGCACTGATTGTCCATGTGGAGAAAGACATTCCTTACACAGACCAAAAAATACATTTTTCCCTTGGTTGAAAGTCATGTCTTTTAGACTCTAAGATGATTCTTAAAATAACCCTGTGTCAGTTCCATATTCAGTGAGCCACAGATTGTGCTATCTGTGGGCTCAACAAGATGTGAATTGAATAGGATTAATTTAGCTTTGTGCACAGGACTCCAAAAATCCATTAACCTACAGATCTTTCACTTTGATATATCCTCTCTTCCTCTGCTCTGCCCTGTCTCATTTAAAACTTCAGAAGTGGAGAGAAAACTAATCTCCTAACTTCAGCAATCAGCAGCTCATGACCAATCTTCTCTGTGCTCAACTTCCACTGGTTTAGTTTGAGGAGAATCCTAGATATCACAGCATTTCATCCATAAGTAAACATATTACATTGGCGTCTAAATGAAGCAAAACTTGTTACTAACTACTCTTTGGCCTAGAAGAGAAGTCTGTCTCAGAGGACAGAAGCTAGTAGTTTTCCTTTGACTTTTAATAGTAGAGCCTTGTATTAGAGACTAATGTAAACATCTCTGGTCATTGAGGGGACTTCTCATCTACAGGAGGATCTAGTATCTTGGCATGCGGGATAGGACTGGCTTCCCCCCTTACAGTCCTCACACTATTTAGGCACTACCTTTAGGTGCCATCGGTAGGGTAAGTTCATGGTTATCAGCCTCTTTATTCTTCCTCATCTGTATCGTATCATGCTAATGGCTATAAAGACAACACTGGTTTCTTTCAATAATCAGATGACTTTAAATTTAGAATGTCAAATCTGAAATATCCTAGAACTACTTGCAGGGTCTGTGCAAAGTCTCCTGATCTGTACTCTAGGAATCCTGGTCCTAAACCTGCTTTTATTGGGACTGCTTAAAAATCAAACATAATGCAGCATTAGAGAGAAGGGAGGTTGAAAGTGGTAAGTTGAAATAGTTTTTTGTTAAGATTCTCAGACACTAAACTAGTAAGTTGATATGCAGCAATGGTAGGTATTATGTGCGGGCTGACAACTAACTTGATTTTTTCAGAATAGTAATGAAGCATAAAAAGAGTCACAACATTGATCTTCTATTTAGATTATTATATTCTCCTGTAATAACAAAGACTTCAGGTATAAATCAGGTGCATAAAGTTTTGACTTTATGTAAATAATTGAAAGTCCATTATTTCCCTGGTGAGGATTCATCGACATTCATTATAAAATTAATATTTACTCATTGGGGGCACTCATACCTGTTTCTGTGCTTTGTTTCTACTACTGAGAACTAGAGGTAAGAGGTTAGGAAAGCTGGGACCACCTCTTCCTTCCACTTCCTTCTCGCCACACCCCAACCACATCCTCCCAATAGGGTCCCTTCTTTCCCCACAAGGCCTCTTCCCCATCCTCCACTTGAAGCCTCCCTCTGGAACCAGGAGGACTGAGAAGGAGGACCACTGGAAAGCCAGGAAATAACCTGCATCTGCTCAGAAGTGAGGAAACAGCCAAGGAAGGGGGCTCTCTCCTCCCTTCTCGAGCTCTTTCTATCCTCCTCCATCTCACCAACACGTCAAGCATTGTTCGGCAGAGACAATGAGACACTGTCCTCTTTGTTTGGGACTATGAATCAGAGTCTCCAGTGTTTTGCAGCATTTGTATTTTCATATCATTGGCAAAGGTGCATTTTATATGCTTCAAATATAAGGCGTGGTGAATCGCAAGATTCCACCACTTGCAAAGTATGATGGTTCTGCCTCTGCAGCGTGGCTTCAGCCTCCCCTTTACCTTGACTCTTACCTGGATCTTCTGTCCAAGTGGAATCAACTTGCTCTTCCCTCATAGACTTGGATGTTCTTGTGTCTGGCTGGAATCTATTTCCTCCCCTCCCCCCATCCGGCCTCAGTTCTACCTTCCTAGTCTCATAGTTAAAGTTATACCCTTTAAATCTTGAGACACTTTATGATGGTTTGTGCACTTTTTTTTTTTCTGATAAATCCTTTTCAGGTGGGGTCCTTTGTTGTTGGGTTCTGCCCTGTTGTTTTGTGACTTGCCATACTAAGGGTACGAGACTTGTTTAAAATATAATAAAATTATGGCATTTGCAGGTAAATGGATGGAGTCAGAGAAGATGATGCTAAGTGAAGTTAGCCAATCCCAAAAAACCAAATGCCAAATGTTTTCTCTGATATAAGGAGGCTGATTCATAGTGGGATTGGGAGGGGGAGCATGGGAGGAATAGAGGAACTCTAGATAGGGTAGAGGGATGGGAGAGGAAGGGAGGGGGCAGGGGGTTAGCAAGGATGGGGGAATGTGATGGACATTATTATCCAAAGTGCATGTATGAAGACACAAATTGTGAATATACTCTGTATACAACCAGAGATATGAAAAAATGTGCTGAATGCGTGTATTAAGAATTGTAATGCACTCTGCTATTATATATAAATAAAATAAATGAATAAAATTTAATGGGAAAATGCTTGTATTTCCTTCTGCTCTGTGTAAGCAGACATTTTTTAAAACTGCACTCCACATCATTGTCCTGAAGGACAAAAGTAGAGTACAGAACTGCCGACACAGTGAAGCACTCTCAAGACCCACTTCAAGAAACCGCGGCTTCTGTTTCTTCCACTAATGGAACAAAAGAGGAGGAGTGAATTGGTGTGAATGCCCTGTGATTCAGATGTCACCAGAGCCTTTGATTTTAGTTGGACTGATGAAGCTGTCTGATGCATAGGTGTCTCTCCTGACTTGGCTCAGCTCACCCTTTGGGAATATGGCATGGTGAAGACAGGGAGAATACAGAGAAGGATACTAAAAAGGGCACCTGGAAGCCATGCCACTCATCCACAGAAGGCAATAGAAAGCAGCCTGACATTGGGATGCTTCTGTTGCCAAGCAGCCATAATGTTGAAACCTGGGCAAACTCCTTCCCCTTACCACTGTTGAGGAATCTGCAGGGAAGGATAGTTCTCTCAGAAGGTGAAATCTATTGTATGCGGGTCATTGATTTTCACAGATGTGAATATTTAAGAAATAGGCAAACAGTACATGGAAAGATGGAAGGAAGAATTAGAATGGGATTTTGCCTAGACAGTACCACCCCTCCCACACTTGAACTCGTGCATTCTGGGCAAGCCCTCTACCAACTGAGTTACAGCCCAGCCTAACAACATGCTCTCTTATTGCTTATGGTTTGGGAGGGCAGGGTGAATTCAGCTGTTTAAAATTCATAGGGAATCCAGAGACTGGTGATGTCCAACTAACCCTCATGAAATCTTTGAACGTGAACTCAAATTGGGAGATTTGCACCTTTTGAGCTTTTTGCACTGTTTTTCATGATCTGATGGGTGAGGTCTTCTAAACTCTTACAGAAGTGTAAAGGAAAGAGACCCCTATGTGAATGGCCAGAGAGAAGTAGGGTAGTTTATAGTTAGCCTACAGAACCTGGAAAGACATCTGATCTCCAGTTTGAACATGTGGGGTGAGGGAATCTAAGTGGCTTGTTGACCAGAGTGGAGAGGGAGAGACAGGCAAGGTAAGCTGAGGCCCACAGGCCAATGGGAGGCTTGGGGGTGATATTAATTCGTTAAGATATTTGTTTACTGTTTTGTCCTTGGTTGCAAACTTCTGAAGAGGACAACATGGCTCAGTTTGACATTACCAGTACCTGGCACAATGTTTGCCATGTGTTAAGATGGGCAACTTCACCAAGTAAACCAAACACTAGAACAAAAGGACCTGGAGGGCTCCAAACCTTCCAAGTCCACTTGGTTTGCAGCAACTCAGCCTCCAATGAATGAATGATTGGTGACAGTGAATTAAAGTAGACAACTAATTGTAAACTGGAAATGTTTTTCAAAGATAAAAATAGCCCCTTCAGATAAAACCACACTGAGGCTTCCTTTCTTTTAATAGAACAGGATATTAACCCGGTGTGGCTGCAGAAGGAAGCTGGGTGGGCTAGAAAGCTTCTGCATCTGACTCTTCCTCCCCCTTCCTTCCACCCCTTGCATTGAGAGGCTAAGTGATTGCCCCAGCCTGCATAACCAGTCCGGACTTGCACCCCGCCCCCCTCAGGGGTGGTGCCTGCTCTCAGCAGGCTGAAATGGAAATAAACTTCACCAGGGCCCCTCCACTCCAAAGTTCCCATGTCTGAACAGAGCTGTTCCAAATTGGGGGCTGGCCTGGTGGGGAGGCAGCAGCCTGTGATCACTAGTTATGCCATCCAAGGCCACTGTGACTTTGACCCTGAACTGAAGGAGTGGTCAGGCTATTTTTGTTGATATAATGGGTCACTGCCAGATCGTCGGATAAAAAGATTTTCCTTGTTCAGCTATATAGAATGTAAAAATTTCTGGCAAAGTTTCTGTTCTGGCAAAGACAGAACCCTAACCCTAACCCTTTGTTTTTCCTTCAGTGAACTAACCACTCACCTGCGCAAATGGGATCTGGTGGTGGCCTCCCTCGGGCAGGAGGCCGAGTCTCAGGAGGCATGCTAATGGCTTAATTGTTTTGTTTATTCAGTTCCTCCAAATTCCAGTAGCTTCATTTGCATCAAGAGAACTTTTCCTTGTGTCTTGGCATTTCCTTTGGTTTTGAATGGCTCTTAATGTTTTTGGAAAGGTTGGGGGAGCTCTCTGTAGTAGGTGTAGCTTTCTCTCAGTAGGGTTTTTTTCTGGCTGTGTGGTAGAGAAAGGAAGAAAAAAATTTTAAAAAATTATATACAGTCTATCCACACAAACTACAGACTATTTTGGAACCTGATATTTATGATGACATTTATGTTTACATACTTTAAGTTTGGGGGTTAAAAGATTAATGTATACAAAGGAATGATGATATTTAACCGAACCCCCCTCCCCCCAAAAATGGCACATTTATGGAGCTGTGGTTTGCTTTTCAAAATGTAGAAATGATGCGAAGGTTTGTTTCTTCGCCCATGACAAAGAATTCCAGGTGTAAGACTATTTTGGTTCATGTGGGATAGGCGTTTTAAAAATTTAAGCATTAAAGAGATGTTTTGGATCAGAGGATTTTATAATGCCCTAGGACAGCAGTTCTTAATGCAGGGTGAAATCTGACTTTTTGGAAGAGATGTGAAGGTTAAAGTCGATGAAGTCCTCTGAGGTTGGTAAATCTACAGGTGTGCTGGCCTCCTTAGGAAAGAAATGCTTCCATTCCCTGAAAACTAGGATTTGGGAATTTCAGAGTTGCGAAATCATGTGGTAGATCTTAATGTTATAAATCACTCAAACAAATACAGGATAAAGCTATTTTGGGAAATGTTTGTGATTATGCAGGATTACATGGGGATAAAGAGCTTCCAGTGGCTCCTCCCATTTCTGAGGGTGTTCCGTACTTTGCATTCTTGATAATTTTCTCTGGAAACTTCAGAGCTTTTCAGAGGCTGGATAGGCTTCTGAGCATTTAAACAGCTTTCCATAGCGTTGAAAAGAAGAGCCTCTGTCTTTGGAAGTAAAAAATTACTGAACACTGACTTTAAATTGTCCAGCACTTGTTCACCTTTGAGATCGCTATTATTATTTCTCCTGGTTTACAGAAGAGGAAAGAAATGAATTAGGCAACTTGTACCAGGTCACCCATTTGAAAAATGGTAGAGAAGGAATATAAATTCTGGGTCACCTGAAATTAAGGTCAATTTTGGAGAGGCACTGTCTATTCCAAGACTTGTCCAAATTGGGGGTCCAGGGACTAGCAGTGTGGGCTCTACCTGGAATAGTATCAGAAATGCAGAACTCCAGCTCCCATCCCAGATCTACTGATTCTGAGTTTGCATTTTCCCCAGGTCCCTCGGTGGTTGCAAATGAGCACGTAATCCAGGCAAGATAGCATGACTCTGAACATGCCTCGGGAGGAAAACCGATGTCCCCATTTTTCAGGGACAACGATGCAGCCAGATGTCTCCAGTCTTTAGAAATCCAACTAACCAATCATATCTAATTATACTGCTCAAGTAAAAATTTAAGAGCAGTTCTTCAACATGGAATTGTGGGAATTTTTCTCTCGGGCAGTTCTGGAGTTAAGCTCTCCTTGGCTGGATGCACAGAATAGGTGGTTGTGTACAGCATGCTAGGAAAACTCTCAACCTAGAATGTCTCTTCCATGGCTGCTGTTAATGCAAGGTTTCTACCATTAGTGATCTTTCCAAATTAGTCTATCCAGTCTTCTCCTACAGAGGCCAAGAACAGAATTTGTCAGTCCAGAGAAGCAAGGCAGAGCGATCCAACCTGGGGAATATCAGTAGGATGAAAATAGAGAAGGGCTTTGGAAAGAGCCCCACTTCCAGAACACTCCAGTCCTGGGTGGTTTTCCTTTTACTTACTTAGTTACTGTACTGGAGAGTGAACGGAGGGGTACTCTACCACTGAGCTACATTCCCAGACCTTTTCATTTTTTAAATTTGAGACAGGGAACTCACTAAGTTGCAGAGGCTGGCTTTGAACTTGTGATCCTACTGCGTCAGCCTCCCGTATAGCTGGGATTACACATGGGTGCATCACTGAGCCTGGCTGGTATTTTTTTTTAGAATTAGAATTCCCACAGGCATCTGGGCTGGAGATGGTAGTGTCTCTCTTCCTCTTTTCTTTTCCCTGCTGACCTATTGCCTCCCAATCCCTGTGAGTCTTCACAGGGTTCTCCTTTCCTGTTCACAGCTGTCACACGGGTTTAAATCTGTATTGTGCCCTGGGATCATCACAATAGATCTTTACTTTCTCCCTCTAATTCACAGAAACAGCGTGGATAGAATTAACATCGTGGTACTATCCCTTTCAACCAAAAAATAGACTACTAAGGCTGGGGCTGTAGTTCAGTGGTAAAGCATGAGGTGGTACGCACAAGGTCCTGGGTTCAATCACTAGCACCAAAACCCAAAAAACAAAACCCCCAGCATTTCTGTCCCCATTAAACCTGCTCCATCCACCTCTATTTTTCAGTAATCCTTCTGGTGTATGTAAACTACATGGTTTAGATGCCTTGTCCCTATTATTAACTTGCACGTAATAAGTTCTCAATAAATGTTGATTGATTGATTGATTGATTGAATGAATGAATGAATGAATGAACTGATTCTCAGGCTCATGTTTTATCGCTCGCCTAAAACATAGCTGCTAGTCATTTTCCATGACTAGACTTCCCTTCTCTTTCTTGCCATTTATCTGAATCCTTAGAGGCTCAACTAAAGGTTCATTTCCTAGAAACGTTTGATTTTGATCATAGAAGGGATCATTCCTTTCAAACCTCGGTCCTTATCATGGAGGTATTGAGTACTAAATCACGTGGAATCTAGAATTGTCATCTGTGTACGGAATCTTATGGCCGAAATAGACTGTAAGCCCCTTGAGGTCCAAAATGATTTACATTTCTTTGCACTTTTCAGAATTTACCATCTTTCTCTCCTCATGTTCCTGTGCACTCTGGTCATTTCCCCCATTTCTCCTGGCACTTGAGTGAGATGTTAGGGTTCCTTGTGGACTCCCACCCCCCACCTCCTCTAAACTCCTTCTTCAGGAATGCATATGGTCCCTGAGGGTAGAACTACACCATCTGGTCTCTCTGAGTTTTTTTTTTTTTTTTTCCTTCTTCTTTCTTTTGGCAGTGCTTGGAGGTCAAATCCAGGGCTAGGCAAAAACTGCCACTGAGAGACCCCTGGCCCCACTATTATGACTTGTTGAATGACAGATATTACTAACTTTATCCTTTTTAATTTCATCTGCATTCTTTTCCTTGTGCTCAGTTCTTGGAACTCCCACTTCTAAATTTCTTAGGACGACAGTGAATAAATGTTAATGAAACTGTGACTCAGCGTATCCTCCAGCCAGGGTGTGAAGGTGAGTCAGTAGACCATGGCAGGCAGCAGGTCTCTTCTACCCTGAGGGGGAGGTAGGAGCCTGCCTGGTGACCTGGGTAGGTTTTCCCCCCTCATTGTTTCCTGGAACTGAGTAGATCAATTATTTAACTCTGAACTTCAAATTCATTTTTTAAAAAGGAAGTTAGTATAGCTTGCATTCTCTTTTCCAGGGGTGATATATTGATTGTTAATAATAAAGGTATAAATGCTTTGGATCCTACCACTGAGACTATATGAAGTACCACAGTGGGATTTTGGCTGGAGTTCTCTCCTACATGTCCACCTTTCTGACTTTCTGTCTGCCTCCAAAATGAAAGGCAACTGTCCCGGTACAGATCCTACATGAGCATTTTTCTAACTAATTTATTAAGTTCTGGCCTACTAAACTTTAGAAAACCATACCATTTCTTTCCAATCTTTTAACAGATTGTCTTTGAAAGAGTCTCATGTTGCCTGTTAAGGAAATTACTTCAACTGAGTGACGTTAGAAATGGTTCAGGAAAACTAGACACATCTCTGCTGAATCTGTCCAGCCTCAGACTTTCCCTTTGACTTGTCTGGGGAGAGATGAATGGCGGGTGGAGAGTGCTTCTGCTTTCATTCTCTGGAAGGTTGTATCACCGGCCCAGAGAATACAAACCAGATTGAGACGAATTAGTAATGCCTCCATTGAGTTTGGGCAGGGTGGTTTGCCTATTTGGAAAATCCTTGGCAAAATTTCTTATCACCCTCCCTAATTGGCTGAGTAATTTAAAGAAGGCTTTTGAATTCAAATTTTCTGAAGAGAGGGTGTTCAGTTCACCCTTTTGTATATGGTAGATTGTTTGCAGTGCATTCCTAGAGGAAAAGACACCCTTTCTGCCTTGACCCTGGGCTGGAGGAGACTCAGCCTTCACTGGGAGCATGCTAAAGGCAGGATTGTATCCAATTCTGTTAGCTAGAAAATTATAATTGCGAGCAGAAAGAATATAGGAAACACGTATATATACTTAGACGTCCATGTGAAAGGTTATGAGAAGAAAATGAAATAATTACTACTAAGAAGGTTTTAAATGGTCATTTTCTCCCCTTTCTCTCTCTCTGAGTATCCTGCTACTATGCCTGAGTCTTCTAGACCTAAACTCAACAAAAATCCCATCCCTTGGGCCCCCCAGCCTTCCCAGCTGGGCACTTTCCTCTTCCATTTGCCCATGGCCTCTCATTTGAAAGGTTCCAGCATCATGCATCATAGACTACCATAAAGATAGAACCATAAACCAAAGATAGAACCGTCTCATTAGGATGTTGAACACCAGAGAGCAGGGCTGTTTCTGACCTAGCAGTGGTCTCCACCTAACTTAAGATCCACCTGTGGTGCTATCTACGCATGTCAGTCTTGGACTGACAAGTTGAAATCAGAGCTTCTAGGGGTGGAGTTCAGACACAACTGTATTACTTTTAAAAGCTTCCGGGGTGGTTCCTAAAAGCAGCTAAGGCTGAGAGCCACTGTTGGTAGGTATTTAAGATATTTAAGGCTTGTTGACTGTGCTGCCATTAAGTATAATACCAAATGCACACTGATCAGAAACCATGCAACTTAGGAAGTTTTGTGGGTTTTTTATTTGGTTGGTGAAGAGAGGATATTTGTTTGGTATTTGACTTCTTTAAGAAGATTGGTGACTCCAAGGGGACTGGAGAAAGGTGAATCTTTGTGTGGACAGGGTGGTTTGCCTGTTTGGAAAATTCTTGGTGAAATTTCTTTTCAACCTCCTCCCTAATTGTCCAAGGGGCCTTCAGTGATGGCCGAGCTGTGGCCGTCTGTCAAATGCC